GGAGGAGGAGGAGGTGCCTCAGGTGCCCCACTCTGGAGCCTGTCCCCCTTGGCCACCCGCTTCTGATCGGTCTCGTGGCGGATCACGAGCAGGGCAGCGCGCAGGATGCGCCTCCTGACCAGATGCGCACCCCTCTCGACCTGTGCGACACGAGCACGATGTGACTCGGGGAGTCGGCACCTGGCAGCTGCCATACCAGCCAACTCGTCCGCCACCACGTTGCCTTGAGCGAGCCAGCTGGCCACTCCCCTCGACAGGTACTCAGCGGGAGCCAAGTGCGATGCAACCTGCAGAACAATGGTGTCCGCTTCTGCACAACTTGCTGGACGAGGAGACTCTGGATGGACCTCCAGAGGTCTGCATTGTGACCCTCAGGCCGCACGAACAGACGTTGCCACCAACCTCGACAAACTTCATCATTGTCTGCCACATAGACCAATACTCCTGATGAAAACTCGATCGCCGTCCGCAGGCACTGCAGCTCGCCCCTCGGGACCGTCTGCTGGCTCTGGGATCCCCAGTGCGGGCCCAACATGAAAGGACCAACCTGCGCAGGCGAAAAATCGGGCATCGTGACGGGCCCGAGCCCGACTCGCCGCAGGCGCCCATCACGGGAGTCGGCACCACCCGACGCGCCTCCGAAGACGATCAGAGGTGCTTCTCTGGTGCCAGACCCTAGGCAGCCAGGCGACAAGGGCTCGGTCATGTTCCCCACTTGCCATTCAGGCTCGCTGGCTGGGGGCGGCACCTGGGATCAGCTCGACGGGATGAGACCCCGTGTCCAGAAGCAGGTGGTGGTGTCCCTCTCCGCCCAGGCTCGTGGTACCAGGTACTCGGTGTCGGTGAAAGCTTTGTTGCCGTCGTTGCAAGAACATGCCCACGTGCGATGGAAGGCCGTCTCCGCCTCCGCTCTGCACCTCAGACATGTAGCAGACTCAACGCCAGCAACACCTGCCTCGAACTTCCGTGCCTGTGTCCACGATCCACCCGCAGCTATGGACAACATGAGCTCCACCATCTGGCGACCCTTGTATACGTGACCTAAGGACGTCAAGAACTGCCGATAACTCTGGAGGCCCACTCCTCCTGCCATGCCTTCGCCACAAAAATGATCAGCCGCTTCGCGCCATTGCCGTGCCGCAAGCGACTCCACGAACTCGCCCAAAAGAGGCGCCACCTGGTCATGGCCCGTGATGGCCGCAGAGGAAAAATTCCAAGCGTGCCGATCACAAGCACAATCATTCGTGGTGTCCCATTCGGCAGCTGAGGTCGGAAGCCAGCCTACATGTAGCAAGTACGCGATGGTGGCCGATATCGGACCACGAATGTGACGAGAGCGATGGACTTCGGGCATGGACGTCAGAGGCTGATCTGCGCTGGCCCATACTCGCTCGACGCCTGCCTGCAGCCGTGGTTCCGCACGCCACACCTGCAACCACTGCGCCAAGGCCTGCCTCGGCAGGACCAGCCCAGGATCTGACCCTGGTAATCGTAGGGCCAGCAGAGTAGTTGCACAACGTCCCCATCCTCGCCGAACTCGCTGCCGCAACAAGTCGACGTCTCTGCAATGTCATGGCTGCACCGAAACATCCGTGCACTTGATGACCGTGCACGGCCACAGCCTGCAATCCTGCCTTCTGGACCTTGGCGGTTGCGTCGTACCTACATGAAACTCGCGCGTACCTCCTCAACCGATTGCGTTGTCCACTGGACTTCACAGCTCGCTTCCTGGCGGTAGCCCTTGCATGTCTGCGGCCTGCCCCCAGGTCCACTCCTAAGCAGGCCAACTGGAGACAACCCTGGATCTGGATACCCTTGCGCCGTAACTGCTGCGCGACCATCTTGGTGTCAGCGGCACGGGCGCACGATACAACCGACTTTGGTGACATGGTCAAACCTTGAACCCTCAGAAACTTTGAAACACTGACAACACCATGGACCAACTGCGACCGTGCATATTGACGTGAGCCTGCAGTACTCATGGATAAATCATAAACCCAATGCCTCTGAGAAAGACCTGGATGAACTGTGCACAATCGATGTAATACCCAATAGCCCATACACCTTGCGAATCTGGTCCCACTTCGAAGGCCCTGAACCACGGACCCTGTGGGTTGAAAGGGAAGAGAATATGACGACAACTGCGCAATCAACCGTGGACTCAGACAACTCTGGAGTTCCAAGAACAATATGACTGGGGGGACCTTCAGCTGCAACGCTGCTCACGCCAGCTGAGGCCACTCAATGCTGCCGTAGAAAGATTGCACATCAACCAGCGCGTGTCCGTGGGGGACCTGCAGCTTCATGTGAAGCTCCTCATCCAAGGCGCGGACGCACGCCTCTCGGAGGGCGCGGTTCCCCGCCACAACTGCATCCCACGTGGGCTCGTCGTCCAGCGACCACTGCCGGACCTGGCCCACGCGCGCCATGCTCCAGAGCCGACAAAACATGGCAATCAAACCGATGACTCGGTCGCCTCCTGACTTCTTTCCCAGAAGGCGACCTATGACCGTCAGCACCTGCCACGGCCATGAGAGCCCCTCTTCCACGAGCCGATATAGCTCACACAACTCCGCCACCGCACAATCTGGCAACCTGTCGAAATCTAGCGGGGACATCTGGTCGATGCCGAGCCCCGCCTTGGGCCGCATGGCTGCCGCTGCCTGCCTCAGGTCGGCGATGGTGAGCGGCTCGATCTGCTCAATGCGCGCGTGATCACGAATGATTGCACACACATCCATAATGTACTGAAACGCTAGCGAGCCTGATCTCCAAAGAGCCTGCCACTTAGCAACTTTGTGATCAATCACGTCAACTGGATGAACAAGGATCTCGATGCCCGCGTCCGTCTGGCGATGCAGCGCGTCGGTCACGGGGATATGCTCCTTCAGGCTTTTGTGAATGGCACCAATCGAACCGACTGATACAATCCACCCCTGAAACTCACGTAGCGATGACGATGCCGCCCTGGCCAGAGATCTCTTGGACCCCTTGAAGGACCACCCATCTAACACCTTGAGCCTGTCAACCGAAATGTCTCTGATGTGCCTGAGATCCTTCTCCATGGTTGCCCAAGAGCCTGCGCTGGAAGTAAACTGAGCAATGTCGCCAGGAGCCGCCGTGAGTAGACAACGAAGAGACTCGCATAGATGAGTGATCTGCACCGCACCATTGCCCCTCGACCTGTGTCGGAGCACCTTCTGAACGATGGTGCGCTAACTCCCAAACCAGGTCGCCGTTCTGTCTGACAGCGGTTGGCCTCGGACGTGAACGGCCTGCTTGGCAGGGACAACCTTCAAGTCAAAGCCGTCTCCCCGCGATGCGCGAGATGGCTCCTGCCCGCGGTGCGCAGCCACCGCGCCGTCGACCGACCTGACCCAAGTAGCGCACCGCGTACTCAGATGTAATATGAACTCACGCCCAGCAGCAAACGCAAGAGACTCACGTATGGCAGGCCAGACGTGCTGAAGAGTGCGAGGCCCCCAAGAGGTTCGAGCCGAAACTTCACGCCACGTGGCAGCAGGAATGGAGCAAGGGGGGGCAGCCGCAGCACAGGCAGAGGAGATCGGATGGCTCTCGCCGACTCCATCGACGCGGGACCCCCGGGGGCATCCGCTGGCTGGGCCCACGTTTCCCCCCTGTGAAACCTGAGCACTATTGACGGTATCCTGAACAGAAATTCCAGCCGAATTAAGATCTTCTTTTGTCACGGTCGCCCGCGGATCCTCGAGGCCCTCCTCCGAGAACTGCGCGAAAGGACTGGAGGGTTCCACAGGGACAAAGCTCGACTCGTCGGCCCCAGGATCTTCTTCATCCTCGGCCTCAAAACTGAAAAAAAAATCTAACGCGTCAGATCCCCCCCTCACCGCCTGATGCGGATCGGGGCCCTGGATCCCAAACCTTCCCCAGACATGGGTCCATCATCGGGGGCCTGGCCCGTGGATTCGGCCTGAAGGAGATCGGACAACTGTTCAGCACACGCCTCCCTAGTCTTCTCACGGGCCACCTCTTGTCGCACGCGCAGGTCGAGCTTGGCACGACTAGACTTAGAGCCCACTGTGGGACCCTTGAGAGGCCCACTTGACTGGGGCAAGCGAGGTGCCACGAAAAGGGAACGCGTCAAAAGTTGCAAGCCTGACTGGCGAAACACGATCGAAAGTCCACAGTGAGGCTTCCACGGGACGGCCTCCACCGCCTCGACTGATCGGATATATGGTATACACGCAGGGCTGACAACAAGATAACCTAAGTGCGACTGACCTTTGCTGCATACACGTGTGTGCAACGCTGGCCTTCAGAACGTGTCCTCCTATCTTCTGCAGGTACCTCGGCTCCATCATTGACCCAACGTCAATGTTCCAGTCACCCACGATACACCATGGAAGTTGAAGACAGCGAACAAAGGCTCCGAGTCTCGTCATACGGCCCACATTGTCGCCCCCAAATCCGACACTGCAATGACCGTAGTAGACTATCAGGATGAGAGTGAAACCCTGTTAGTGCACCGCGACCGCCACGAAGCCGTCGAAGTCCGTGCCGCCAGGAGGGCAGAAACTTGGAAGATCACGCGGCTTATCTGCAAACCGATGAACGTGACGATAGTAGAGAGCCAAGAAGAGCTCGCCGCCTTCGCAAGCTCGAGCCTGACCTGCAGATGTGACTCCTCTGCCTGTTGGACGTGCCCCATTGTCCAAAAAGCGCCAATGTATATGTTGAGCTTCGCGAGCCCACTCATCGCGAGTGGTTCCCTTGGCCGTGACGTGAGTCTCGACCAACCCCATGTACTGGTACCGAGCGAGGTGCTCCTGGCTCGATAGAAACTTCCAAGCTGACTTGCCAAGCGTCGTGATGTTCGCGAAGAACATGCGGCACTCGTCATCGTCGCCCTCCTCCAGGCCGACGTCAACGCCAGAGCCCTGCGCCAGCGCCGCCGCCGCCTCCGCCGACTGGATGCCCGCGCTCGCTGAGGGCGCCGGTGGACCCTCAGCGCTGGGCACACCTCAATTGGAGGCGCTGCCCGCCGCGGCACCCGTCTGCAGCGTGGGCGTGGCCTGGCTGGCAGCCGTCTCCGCCGCCTGCTTGGCCTGCCTGATGCGCTCCATCTCCTTCTCGATCTCGGCGTCCGAAGCGGCTGGCGACGCCGCAGCGGTCGCGACGGGCGGCTTGGCCGATGATTGAGCCTCCGCCCCTGCCGCGCCCGCTGCCTGCGTTGGAGCATCAGCTGTGGGGGAATCTGCCTCCTTACCGTCGCCCTCCACGTCCTCAGAGACCACCGCGACCGTATTGCGTTTCTTGGCTGCCCTCTCCTCGATCTTCTTCTTGAGTTCGCTGACGCGGGCATTCCACTGCGCAATGTCCGACGACTTCGCCGCCAGCGTGTCCCGCGTGGCCTTCAGGTCCCGCTCGAACTGCCTCAGCACGGTGCGCTCATGCTCCTCGCACTCTACTTCGTCGAAGGAATGGAAAAATGCTTCGTCCCACGTGAGGTATATCTTCGCGGGGTCCTGCTTGGCCTCGGCGGATTCACTCTGCTGCGTGGTGATGCCCCCCCCCCCTGGGCAAAGGCTGCGACCGCAGCCTTCTTGGAGAGCTCCGCGACAGCCATCTGCCGCAATGCCTCCTGTTCCTTGCTGACCGCCCGCTCCAAGTTCTCTCGACACCGACGAGACTGAGCGGACGCTTGATCATACTTGAGCCTCGCGTCCTTCCAGGCGCCCTCCGCGCGACGCACCGCCTCTGCTGGCGATGTCGTCGCCGCTGAAGCTGAAGGCTGTGCCTCCGCAGCTCCCTGCACCTGTTCCTGAAGTGACTTGCGCACCTCGGGGTCGGACGAAAACTTGATCGCCTGAGCCAAAAGATCCTCGACCTTCTTCGGCGCCTCGAGAGCCCCCGTGAGAGAGACGGAGGTGCCATTGATCGAGTCGGGCTTGCCCTTGTGCAGGCGTACTTTGCATGCGCATTTCCTGCACTTGCACTCGGCCCTGTGTCCCACACTTCTTGCACGTGCTCCACAGCCGTCCAGGCGACATGGCTCTGTGAACCTCTCCTGGTCAACAAAAAAGCCTACCGGTTCGGGCAGGGCGTCTGTTGTTCCTCAAGCACTACGTGAAAGTGAGAGGCCTCGGACCGAGTCCGCTGACAAAATGAAAGCGCTCGTGCCGATATTGCTTGAGAGGAGGAGGAGGAGGAGGAGGAGGAGGAGGAGGACGTCGAGAAGGAGGTGTTACTTTGTGCCTGCGGCGTGGACCCACCCCTGGACCCTCCTCCTCCGAGGGCCCCGCACGACGTGGTGGGTGTTGTGGTCCGACTTCCACCAGCAGAGCGAAAGGCCCATCAGGCCCGTGAGGAACGAACCGATCTTGTGGTCGAAGTCAAAGTCGTGGGAGACGCCTGGCCCGAGCGGTCCACCACATCGTCGCCCAACTTCGTCATCTTCTTCGTCCTCGCCCGTATCCTCCTCCTCATTGTCCTCCGCCTCCTCGCCCCTCCGCCCCTCCCTCATACATTCTGCTCCGCTTCCCTTTTCCGCCCACTCCTGGTTGCCCTGCTTCTGGCTTGACACCGTCGGACAAATAAATGCCCCACGACTTACGACGGAAGCATGTGCACCGGGAGCTGCCACCTGGTTGGAGGCGACCAGGGGATCTGAGCTGGATAAGCCCAGAGAAAATGGATCAAGAGGCCTAATGCGATCAAAAGCCTTCCCCCAAATTGACAAGTTGTTCGAGCCGCGTCCAGCAGTGGCGACAAGGGAGGCCCTTCCTCCACCCTACCTGTTGGCCGAAACAAGCGCTGGCCCACTTAACCCCCAGCCGGCTCCAACCTGCTGGTCCTCCTCCTCCTCCTCCTCCGACCTCCCGCGTCAGCCTCTCGGAGAGGAGCAGAAGGCGCCGCTGGCCAAAGCAGTCCCCGCCGTCGTCGTTGCATTTCAAGCATTGTCGTCGTCATCGCCCTCCTCGTTTTCCTCGTCCTCCTCCTCCGCCTCCTCCTCCGTCTCTTTTTCCTTCTGAACATTTCCTCCCTGTCGTACCCCCAGACGTGCTCGTAGGGCGGGCCTGTCGTCTCTCTGCTACCGAAGTTGGACATGTGCAACGGTGCCATGGATGGAGGGCGAATCGTTTTCAAACAATGCTATAGGTTTCGCGCCGCGAACATTCGTTTTCGACGTTTGGCATAGCTCCATGATGGATGGCTGGCCGTGTTCAAAACGTAGCTCTCGCACTGACGCCGCACACATTCGTCTTACAGTGTGCGACAAGTTCGAAGATGGAGGGCGGCTCCTTTTCAAAATGTGGTTCTGGCCTCAGCGCCGCACACATTCGTGTTAAAAATCTGCAGCAATGTCAAGGGCTCGCACGATTGAAGTCCCAGGAACGGCGTTCTGGCACGACTCGGATTGTCAGGACGCAACGGTCACGTTGGTCCGCGGTGCTGGAATCCCACGAACTGCGTTCTGGCACGATCTAGCACTGTCAGGACACACCACTCACGATGGCTCGCGGCGATGAAATCCAATACGTATGCACTGACACGATTGGAGAGTAAAAACGCTTGCCTTCCGCAATGGAAAGAACTTTGCGCATGGGGCATATGAACCGGGCACTTGGAGGGAGGGATATTGCCAACATCGTTGACGCGCCGTGGGCGTGCACTGATTATCCTCCTCGCCCTCCTCCTTCTCTCCCTCCTCCTCTTCCCCCTTGTCCTAAGCGGTGTTTTCTCCTCCCCTCTCTGTTTCATGTCGTGGCCTCCATCCGAAGAGCACGGGAAGGGTAGGGAGAGGAGGAGGTCGACTTCGGGGGGGGGCAGCGTGTCCTCCTCTGCCTCCTGAACTTGAAAACCGTCGGGAATTCCCTTCGCATCGTCGTTGCGGCCCGTCACGGCGGTAATGAATTGTCACAAACCCTCTGGGCGGAGGTGGCTTAACGAGATACCTGTTGCCCTTGTTCCAGAAGCCCTCCCCGCCGTGTCCGGGGGGAAGGCCACACCTCCCCCCACACCCCCCAACCCACCCAACCCTGGGTCTGGACGGGCGTTGGGCGACAGGCGCCCCTTAAACCCCATGTGTCGGCCTCCGACGGGGGGGCGGCTGAATTGATGCAGCCATATTTTGTTGATCCGTGGTTTCCAAGACGGCCCCTAGAGGCCCCTAAACCCGACCCCCCCCCCCAAACAACCCAATGACGCCCCCCAAAAAAAACCGAAAGCCCCCCCTGGGACGCCAAGAGGCCTCACGACCAAAGGTCCGCAGAGGCCGCATCCTTAACCGTTTTGCCGGATGGAGTGATGGGGGCACGCGAAACGCCAAACATTGAGCAGCTTCTGGAAAGGACGAAAGGCAGGGCAAGGGTGCAGCAAGAGGAAAAGGGGCAGGGGGGGGGAAGGCGATAGTCCTGGACACAAAGGAAAAGAACAAGGAGGGGCAGGAAGGTGCCGGAAGAAATGGGGGGGCGGAGGAGGAAAAGGGGACAGAAAAGAGGGGGCAACCCTGTTGATTGCACGGGTGTGGTTGTACGGGTATAGAAACACACGAAGTGCAAATCGGGGGGCCCGTGCTAGAAGAGAGCGCTTTCTTTTTCCTTTTTGAAACGCGTGGACGTGTCCGTCACTGGCGCGCCATGATAGCTCAAGGGCCCTTATGAGCCGATGCGGCGGCGCACAAGGGAACGCAAAGAGAGGCGCAGGAGGAGGAAAGGCTGACAGGGGGCTCTGCAAGCACAGTTCCTACCCTCCTTGCAACCGAAACGCCGCCCCGCCTCAGAAGATGAAACTCGACCCTCAGTCGATGCCGTAACCATCCCACGTACTACCAGAGCCTGAGTGACGGGCAGCTGGCACAGCTTCGCGCACACGTAGGACGCGAGAGCATCTCGAACAGAGATCCTTGCACGGATTGTCTGACTCGAGGTCCGTGATGACACGAGCTCATATGACTTCGTTGCGTCCGTGGCTTGCCCCGTCTGGCCGCGCTGAGCTCCTGGGCCCACTGAATAGACCGGCTCTCGTCCTTGGGAACCAGCTTGGCCTCGAAAGCCGGAAAGTCGGAGTCCGCGACCGCTTCATCCGAGTACGCGCGTACACTCAGAAGCGCTGTCGGGATGGCCCTTGCCGCGAAGCACATCCCGACTGTGCGATTCCAGACCTTGCACCGTCTGAAGACTTGCTCCTTCGCCTGCACCTTGCCCCAGACCCCCCTCGTCGTCGCATCGTGGACGCAGAGCGCCTCGATGTAGACGCTGCCATCGGTCTGGCGCCGCTGCCTGTGGACTCGCTGCTTGGGGCAGCGCGCGCGACGGCGGCGATCCACCTGCAGCCCGAAGATGCAAATGCACAGGTTCATCTCTGGGCTGAAGCCCGGCGACGCATGCACCGCGCAGCGAGCGCGAAAGCTGCGGCGAGATGTCCTCTCGCAGCAAATTCAGCATACGTTCTCACAGCTCGAAGGTCCCGACTTCAGATCAAATAGCACCTTCGTGCTCCAAATAGATGCCAATGCTGCCAAGTTGGCGCCGTGATAAGCAGAATCGATCTCGGCCCCCTTCTTGCGGAGCTCGTCGTCATGCTGCCTCTCCCGGGCGCGCGTCGCAGCTGGAACCGGCACCTGCTACTGTCCAAGTGAATGCGCCACTGGTTCCTGGACATGAGGGCCGTCGATCAGCCCCGAAATATGTTCACGATTAGAACGGGGATCTCAGTCCCTGATTGAGCGCTCAAAACCAACGCGAACAAAACAATCGTTGTGCCTGAGGGTGCCGGGTGGGCGGTCTCTCGCCGCGCCGACCGCCTGGCCCGCCCTTCCCAACGTTAGCTTCCCATGTATATCCACGATAGAGAGAGAGAGAGAGGAAGAGGAAGAGGAAGAGGAAGGGAAGAGAGAGAGAAAAAGAGAAAAAAAAAAAAAAAAAAAAAAAAAAAAAAAAAAAAAAAAAAAAAAAAAAAAAAAAAAAAAAAAAAAAAAAAAAAAAAAAAAAAAAAAAAACTGCGTGTAATTCCTGGAGAGCTAGTAGGCCTTCCTTCAGGTACAAGAAGTCGATCACCCTGCTCGGCTGGATGTCCTTCCAGTCCTGAAGCAGCGGCGCAGTGGTCAATAATCGCCGCCGCCATCGTGCCCTAGGTGACATATCCGCCCATTGTTGGAGGTAAGAGGAGTCGGCTTGCGGGGGGGGTCGGGCGCGCGGGAGGCGGGCGGAAGCGTCGCCGGCGCCCCGCGCCCCCGGGGGGCCCCATGTAAGATTTTCCAGGCTGCGCCAAGCGCGCGCGCATTACTTGTCCGCGCGCTCGCATTCGCGCAAGCGCATCCTAAGAAACTACGATTTGGATCGGAACGATTGCTGCTGGCTCGACACGCGCGATATGCATGTAACGACTTTTGGAGGACGGGCGCTGCGCCGCCCAATCCAACGCGTGAGTGTCGCGGTCCGGGGCGCGCGGCCGTCGCGGCGCACGGCGGTCGACGTGACCGCATGGGCCGCGCGATCGGCCGCGCGGCATTTGCGGGCCATTCGGCCGACGCTGCCGGGTCGCCCTCGAACAGCCCGCCAGGAATACGCAAATGCGCAATGCGCCGCAGCGCCGCCAGGATATCGCCCTGCAAACAACCTGTTCACTCTGAACGCCGACTGCGCGCCTCGCTGAACCAGCGAAGTCGCGCGGCGCGCCCGCGCGGCGGACCCGCCGCAATGAACTCGCGGGAAAAAAAGCCTCTCCATTGCTCCTGGCACCGATTCTGGCCTACTTCCCCGTTCTGGCCGATTCTGGTTCCATCGCCGATTCCTCCTTTGATTCCGTATTGATTCCGCGCTGATTCGTTTGATTCCGCTAGAATCATGGGTCGCAGTTGCGCCGATTCTGTTTTGATTCTGTACTGATTCCGTACTGATTCCTTTGATTCCCCTGTGCCCCTGGGACCATCAGGCCGCGGCCCGAGCCCCCGCCTCGGCTTTTTCCAGGAGCGCGGAAGAGTTTTGAAGGGGAGGGGGGCGGGGGGGGAGGCGGGGCGATTTTTGGGGCGCATCGGGCGGCCGAGCCGCAGATTTCCGGGCCCAGTGCGCACGCCCAACACGGCAGGCGCGGGCGCGCGCGCGCGAGTTCTCGACCGTCGGCGCATCTGTAAGTTCATGCCCCGCCCCGCGCGCGGGAATGGAAACTTGCGCTGCGGTTTCCCATTGAACGCGCGGCCGTCGCGCCCCATGCTGCTCAGCGCGCAAAGCGCGCGAGCAGCATGGGGGGCTTTGCGTTCTCGCATGAGAAGTGCGCGGAACCGAGCCGAACGGTCGGCGGCGCCCGCTCCTGCGCCGCGCGCGAGGCCATCGCGTCAGCGCGGGGGGCTACAAGGGCCTGGGCCGTCGCCCTGGGGCGCGGGCACAGCGCGAGGCCCGCGCGGGTCTCCC